CCCCAAAACCCCAAAACCCCAAAACCCCAAAACCCCAAAATTTAGACTAATGAATGAACAAAGGAATTAAATATTATTAGATTAAAGTATAAATGGATCTGGATTCTACTCCTGAACAGGAAGAAATCAAGGCTTTAATAGAAGGGTAAGTAAAATGACATAAATACTAGACCACAAGTGATTCTTCAAAGACATGCAAGATCAACTGCAAATGCTTCCTATGAAGAATTAGTGTAATTTTAACTTTGGATTCTTTAGAAGGAAGTTTGGAGATCCCAATGATATTCCTTATGAAGACCTACTCAACAAGTAAGATTTCTTTAATCTCCTAAAACTGTTTATAGTGATTTCAATCCTGCAAACAGAGATGCTAGTATTCTTAATTTGTTTACTTTACAGAAATTGATCAACTAGGCATTGAACAGTGTCTTGAATCTCAAAAGATTGCTAACCAATTACCTATTCATACTATATTTGTTTCACCTTTGAGGAGAGCTTTGATGACAGCATACTATGTGTACAAAGATCACCCTAACTTCGCCTCAATCAAATTCATCTTACTCCCTCAACTGCGTGAATCTTTGAACATAATCTCTGACATTCCTTCAAATATCGACGAAGTCATCGAAGAATTCAAGTACTGATTGGTTTACCTTTAGAGAGCTGATTCCTCATTTACACATAGCTGAACTGAGTACTCTTTAACCCAATTTTGGCAACCTTAAATCCCTTAGTCCCTTCAACTCAACTCCTATAGACACTTCTCTGGTCGACCAGAGAACAAGCAGAGAGCACTGGTTTCTGAACGACTTGGAGGTCAACATTGAACAACAAGAGAGCATGAGCGAGGTGAGTTTACATCTGATTTTAGATGAAGAAAGAACTCGAGGTATGGCTGGAGGAAGAGGAGAAGAAGGATGTCTGTGAGCTTCTATGTAAGTATGGGAGAGAAGTACATTCGACAGTGCTGGAATCCAGGTGGAGCGTTAGGGATAGAGCAATGGAGGTGAAGAAGATAGTGAAGAAGTATCTAGATGAGAATGAGATTCCGGAGTGAGAGAGTGGTTTATTTTTGTAGATATCAGAAAGTTATCATTGTTGGACACTATGTAATCTTCTGCCATTACACTCAAGTGTGGGAAAAGGAATATTCTAGAGACAAGGAAATCCCAAGACCTGAAAACTGTTTGAAACTAAAAAACTGCCAATTCGTTTCAGGTACTCCATACAAACTAACCCTCATAGATCCAAACGACCTCTCAACCCTCAAAACTGACTAAACCCATCTGCTAGACCTTAAGTTTCAATATCTAAAAACATCTTTGGGGTTTTGGGGTTTTGGGGTTTTGGGG